CGTAGACCACCCTCATTGCTAGGATCTCCTTTAGCCCCAAGAGCCTCCATGGCCAGTCAGCAGTTGTGATGGGATGATGGTTCTCTGCGTGCATCAATCTTTGTAAGTACACACATGCAGTAATATGCAATTACAAGTGATTTTAATTTTTTTTGCTTGTCAGCTTTCAATAATGAATATGTACAGGCAGACCTCAGAGATATTGCCGGGTCTGCTCCAGACCACCATAATAAAGCAAATATTCTGATAAAGTGAGTCCCACAAACTTTTTGGTTTCCCATTTTATATAAAAGTTATGTTTATACTCCACTCTGGCCTATTAAGTGTACGTAGCATTATGTCTAGAAAAAAAGCCAATGTGCATACCTTAATATAAAATTTTTTATTGCATTTTTTATATTGCTAAAAAAATGTTAATGATAATCTGAGCCTTCAGTGAGTTCTAATCTTTTTACTGGTGGACAGTCTTGCCTCAGTGTTGATGGGCACTGGCTGATTGGGGTGGTGGTTGCTGAAGATTGGAATGGCTGTGGCAGTTTCTTAAAATAAGACAACGGACCAGGTGTGGTGGCTCATGCCTGCAATCCCAGCACTTCGGGAGGATCACTTGAGGCCAGGAGGTCAAGACCAGCCTGGCAAACATGGTGAAACCCCATCTCTACTAAAAATACAAAAATTAGCCAGGCATGATGGTGTGTGCCTATAATCCCAGCTACTCTGGAGGCTGAGGCATGAGAATTCCTTGAACCTGAGAGGTGGAGTTTGCAGTGAGCAGATTATACCACTGCACTCCAGCTTGGGCAACAGAGTGAGACCCTCTCTCTCAAAAAAAAAAGACAACAATGAAGTTTGCCACATAGATCAACTCTTCCTTTCAGGAATGATTTCTCTGCAGTACATGGTGCTGCTTGATAGAATTTACCCATGGTAGAACTTCTTTCAAAGTGGAGTCAGTCATCTCAAACCCTGCCACTGCTTTATCAACTAGTTTATGTAATATTCTATATCCTTTGTTGTTATTTCAACTGTGTGGACAGCATCTTCACCAGGTGTAGATTCCAGCTCAAGAAACTACTTTCTTTGCTCATCCTTGAGAATCAACCCCTCATCTCTAATGAATTTGATCACCAGATTACAGCCATTCAGTTCTATCTTTAGGCTCCACTGCTAATCCTAGTTCTCTTGCTACTTCCACATCTGCAGTTACTTCCTCCAGTGAAGTCTTGAACTCCTTCAAAATCACCCATGAGGGTTGGAATCAGCTTCTTCCAAACTCCTGTTAATATTGATACGTTGACCTCCTCCCATGAAATGAACGTCCTTAGTGGTATCTGTAATGGTGAATTCTTTCCAGAAGGTTTTTGCCCAAATCCACCCAGTGGAATTACTTATTTCGTAAATATTAAGACTGGAAAGTCTAAATTACTCCTCGATCCATGGGTTGCAGAATGAGTGTTGTCTTAACAGATATGAAAACAACGTTAATCTCCTTGTATACTTGGTGTTGGGTGACCAGGAGCCTTATAAATCAGCAGTAATATTTTGAAAGCAATATTCTTTTTCTAAGCAGTAGGTCTCAACAGTGGGCTTAAATAATCAGTAAACCTTGCTATAAATTAATGTATAGTCATCCAGCCTCTGTCATTTGATTTATAGAGCACAGACGGAGTAGATATTACATAATTCCTAAGGGCCCTAGGATGTTTGGAATGGTAAATGAGCCTTGGCTTCAAATTAAAGTCATCAGCTGCCTTAGTCCCTGATAAGAATCAGCCTGTCCTTGGAAGCTTTGAAAACAGTCATTGACTTCTCCTCTCTAACTGTGAAAATCCTAGATGACATCTTTTTCCAGTAAAAGGCTGTTCGGTCAACATTGAAAGTCTGTTGCTTAGTGTAGCCACTAACCTAGATCTTGAACTGAGCTAGATCTTCTGCAGAACTTGCTGTAGCTTCTCCATCAGCAGTTGCTGCTTCGCCTTGCACTTCTGTGTTCTGGAGATGGCTTCTTTCCTTAAACCTCATGAACCAACCTCTGCTAGTTTCCAGCTTTTCTTCTGCAGCCTCCTCACCTCTCTTAGCCTTCATAGAACTAAAGAGAGTTAGGTCCTTGCTCTTGATTAGACTTTGGCTTAAGGGAGTGTTGTGGCTTGTTTGGTCTTCTATCAGACCACTCAGAGTTTCTCCATATCAACCACAATGCTCTTTTACTTCCTTGTCACTCACTCCAGTGCTCACCGGAGTAGCATTTTTAATTTCTTCCGAGAACTCTTCCTTTGCATTCACAACCTGGCTATTTGGTGCAAGAGGCCAGCCTGTCTGAGCTTCCAAGACATGTCTGTCTTCCTCATCAAACTTAGTCATTTCTAGCTTTTGATTGAAAGTGAGAGACATGCTACTCTTCCTTTCATTTCAACACTTATAGGCCATTGTAGAGTTGCTGATTGCCCTAATTTCAATATTGCTGTGCCTCGGGGAATAGAGAGCCCTGAAGGAGAGAGACAGGGAATGGCTGGTCAGTAGAACTGTCAGAACACATACAACAACTACTGATTAAGTTTACCATCTTATGGGCACGCCTCATGGTGCCCCAAAACAATTACAATCGCAGCCTCAAAGATCAGTGACCACGCATCACCATAACATAACAATAGTGAAGATGGGCGTCCATAGACTTGTTTATGCACAGTTGCCAAAAGCCTTCAATTCCTAAAGAAACACGCTACCTGTGAAATGCATATCTATATATGCATATAATTATTCAAGCTTCCTCAGCCACCTTTTAGGGCTCACTTCTGTGGGGGAGCTAATTCCCTTCATTATGCATCTGTTCTTACTAGATTGACTCTCTGTGGCTGACATTCTTATCAGGCTTCTGGACTAGGGGGATCTCCTGTAGCTCTGCCTTTCAGAGTCTCGACATAGGTTACGATGGAAACCACTGTGTGCTCCCGATACAGAAAGACGACTGTGCTTTGTTGGAGGATGATACGATATGATTTGTTACCAGAGTGGGGCCATCCCTGCCTCAGGCTGTTCCTAGATGTTTAAAAGAACATTCCAAAGGACTTTAAGAAACTTCGTGCGACCATTTCTGTATTCCTTTCCACATCTTTTATAAAATGTTAGAATTCAGACCACACTTCCTGAGCTTTGGAGGCAGACCCCTTGGCCCTGAATCCCTGGAAGTTCTCACCTGTGGGTGGTATCAGGCATCACAGCAGGATGTGCTTTAAGAATCCAAATGAATTCAGTCAAACCACATTGGGCAGGGGCTTAAACTTGAGTTGAATTTACTCATCTCTGGCCAGCTATTAATCCTATAGCTAAATCATATACATAAAGGAAGGGGAAAAATCCAACCCAACTAACCACACAACAAACACTAACTAAAACCAAGGTAACGTATGGTCCATCTCTGTGCTGCTTAGTAAAACTCAAAATTTCTTAATCTCATGAAGTGACAGAAATTACCTGGGGGAATTTCAGGTGTTTTTGGTAAACTCTTTGGGGAAGTAAATAGTCAGCAAACTTCCTGAATGCTGGGACTTTTGCCTGCAGCAAAACAAAGCTAAGACAAGTGGATTTCTTAAAAAGACCACCGACAGCAGAGGAGTAGCCAGGCTTGGAAGAAGCAGGCTGGGGAGCCCAGGGGATAAATTCCACCCCATCTGCTCAGCAGACCTGGCCTTAAGCAAAACTGAGCCAAGAGGGAGATGCTTGCTCTCTACCCACTTCCCTGAGTGTCCCCGCTGGGCTGACCTTGTATTCATCTCCTGTTCTTGGGTGTCTGTACCTCTTGGTGGAGGCATTTTGGAAGTAAACACACCTTGTCCACCACCTCAAACTGTGTCCTGATGTTTTTAAATTATGGTACATGTAGCTATCAAAAATAAATGCACAGAAGAGTATATAAGAACATGGAGAGATGCTTACCATACTCTTAGTTCAGAAGGCAGATGACCATTTTTGTAAGAAAAAAATTAATAAGAAGACAAGCACGTACATCTATGCATAGAAGGAAAGCCTGGAGGGAGAGCCCATGATAGCAACTCGTATTTGCAGGTGGTAGCCCTGCCAGCGATTTGAGCCTGTTTTTTCACACTGAGCTGTATTGCTTTGGTACTGTGTGCATTTCCTCAATACTCCAGTTTGGATGAGCTCAATGTGAGTTAACATGTCAAGAGGTGACAGGTTTCCCAAGGACCTTATGTCTGTAATGCTCGGGGATTGATGGGGCCAGGAGGTTTGTGTTATAATCTCCCCTGTGAGGATGTCGGACGGGGAAGCCCAGGGCTGAGGAGGCAGTGAGAGCATCTCCAAGTCCACACCATGTAAAGCTACTTCTTCCCTGCTTCAGGGAAGTGCCTGTTTCACAATCTCATTAAATCAAAAGTCGGGCTTGCCCATAGTTAAAGTGTGTTCATTTAACCAAAAAACAAAAATAGGCTGGGTATGATGGCTCATGCCTGTAACCCTAGCACTGTGGGAGGCCAAGGTGGAAGGATAGCTGGGGCCAAGAGTTTGAGACTAGGCTGAGCAACACAGCAAGACCCTGTCTCTACAAAGATTACAAAATTAGCCAGGTATGGTGATGCATGCCTGTTGTCCCAACTACTTGGGAGACTGAGGCAGGAGGGTCACTTGAGTCCAGGAAGTAGAGGCTGCTGTGAGATAAGATCATGCCACTGCACTCCAGCCTGGGACAGAAACCCTGTCTTTTAAAACACACACACACACAGACAGAAAGTGCTTGTAGGCAATTCACTTGCAGTTGACTGTAGTCTCTCTCTCTCATACTTGGGGCTGAACTAGCCTCAGGAGAAGGAAACTCCCAAGCCCAGTAGTGTGGTCATTGCAACAGATAACACAGAGGAAGAGGTTCGCTCCAATCCCGCCTCCACGCCTGCCAGCCTGGCTCATCCACGTGCACATTGTCTTCCACAGTGTCTCCTTTTGTGGGCTGTTTTGTGAAATCTGCCTTTTCCCTTCTTGTTTTCCAGTCCCCCTAAACCAACTGTGTTCATCTCTGGGGTCATTGCCCGGGTAAGTCTGGGGCTGTCTGGGGTGGGCTTGAGGCCTTTGGATGGCAGCATGGGTTCCTTGTATTTTTGTTAAACTCTACCTAGAGTAACCCAGCAGCGCTGCTCCTCTCATCTGTGGCCATGACTCTTCATTGCCGTATTTCCCGAAGGGTGCTCCTGCAGACCCCAGGCCGGACTCACGGCTTCAGTCACATCCTTTACCTTTCCAGAGCTGCCCTCTGGTGAGACCCAACGATGTGACTTGAGTGCAGACCTCCCGCCAGTGGCCCGCGCAGTATCGCCATCCACAGGGTCACTGCATCTCAGGATGTTCACTGAGATGATGAATTTATCAGAGGATGCCTGAAGAAAGTGCCAGTGTTGGGGACAGCCCACTGCTGGCATAGCTGGTGGAGCTGTGACCATAGCCAGCCAACCTGTCAGCCAGGGAAGTGTGGCTCCAGCCTGCCCATGCGGGGCTCACTCTGGTCACACCCATGTTGGCACAGAAGCCCATTGGTCCCTCTGGAAAATAGCAGGTCCCTCCTGAGACTGGGCAGGCAGAAACTGGTTGTATCTCAAAGCCGCCCTGTGCGTTTCCTTCCCGGCCAGTGACCTAGGCCTGGCTCACAGCTGCAGCAGCACATCTGAATTTAAGATCCTGGATTTAGTTCTGTCCTTCCCCCTATTTAAACAGTCTCAAGTACAGATCTAGCAGAAGAAAGCCCCCAGAACCCAAGTCAGATCTGAGAGAGGCACGTGTTCCTGTGTCTCATGGCATGGGGCAGAGCCAGTGATTGTTCTTGCCGCCTTGCTGGTGTGTGGGCCTCAGTGCCAACTGCCATTCCCTGGTTCTGATGGCCCAGGACCCCCACCACCCACAGGGAACAGGCTTCTACCTTTACCCATTCACAGTCCCCAGCCATCCTGCAAGGACACTGGTGGGCACTGGCCTTCGGCTTCCTCATGCGCAAAACCCATGCTCCCTGCGGGGTTGCTGGTGGGCGCTGGCCTGGGGCTTCTTCACCCACGAACCCTGTGCTTCCTGCAGGGACGCTGGCCTGGGCCCTCCTCATGCACGAACCCTGTGCTTCCTGCAGGGACGCTGGCCTGGGCCCTCCTCATGCACGAACCCTGTGCTTCCTGCAGGGACGCTGGCCTGGGCCCTCCTCATTCACAAACCCCATACTTCCTGTTGATCAGCCTGTGCTTTCCGTGTATCCTGACAGGGTGACAAAGACTTTCCCCCGGCGGCTGCGCAGGTGGCTCACCAGAAGCCGCATGCCTCCATGGACAAGCATCCTTCCCCGAGAACCCAGCACATCCAGCAGCCACGCAAGTGAGCCTGGACCCCACCAGCCTCCCCCGCAGCCCCAGCTCTGCTGCACCTGGCATTTCCCCGAAAGAGAGAACCAGCACTTTCTCCCAAATTCCCCTCTACTCGGAAATCTAAGGCAAAATGAGGTGCTCTGTCCTTTGCCTTATATTTCCATATTTAAAGCTAGAGACGGCTCCAGCCCAAACCTTGTTTAAGGGGAGTCTGGTTGGATGTCATTTGAGGATTATTGTGCCCCCAGAGGTGCCATTAGCAGAACTTGCCAAGATCTGAGGAAAACTGTAGCTTTAGTTCTATTTCAGCAGTCACCTGACAGCCTTGTCTGTGGTCTTCAAAACAAGAAGGCACAAATTTGAGAGGATCAGATTAAGGTTAAGAGAAAAGGTCAGTCATTGCATGCTTTTAGTATTAGGACGATAAAATCTCAGCACCTACAGGAGAGGAAGAAATAAGGGAATTCATTTGGGTGGTCCCTCGGGCCCTTAGAGGCAGGGAACAATGCCAAATTTCCCTCCCTTGAGATGGGGGATCCTATGCAGGCTGATAAGGTACACACAAGAAAAGCCAAAAACATACATCTTAGAAATAGCCCCTCAATTCCAGGAGGCAGCATGCCAAAAAATGAGGCTGGAGGCAGGTGGCTCCAAGGGAGGCCTTCTGGAATGAGGTCTCGGCGTGGCAGGCCCAGCATCGCCTCAGTCCAGATGGGCTCCACCAGGAGTTGAAGCAAGACTGGCCTTTCGGGAATCACCTCCTGAGCCACTTCAGAGTTCTGCAAGTGCCCATGGCCCAGGGTCAAGGAATAGACCTCTAGCTCATTCTGGAACATGTGAGCCAGAGAGTCGGAAGCTTGGAAAGACCAGTTGAAAAACCTGCCCTTTGTCTCCCAAGGGACATGGAATACCACATTCCATTTGTGCTAGAAAAACCTATTCACTGGTGAGTCTAACTGCCCCAAATGCCTCCCGCCCGTGCACACAGCTGCCCGGGCCCATCGTCACTTGGGCACGTCAGGTGGTCCTCTAGTTTTTGTTTTTTTTTTTTTTTTTTTTTTTTTGAGGCGGGGTTTTGCTCTTGTTTCCCAGGCTGGAGTGCAATGGCGCAATCTCGGCTCACCGCAACCTCCGCCTCCTGGGTTCAGGCAATTCTCCTGCCTCAGCCTCCTGAGTAGCTGGGATTACAGGCACGCGCCACCATGCCCAGCTAAATTTTTGTATCTTTAGTAGAGACGGGGTTTCACCATGTTGACCTGGATGGTCTCGATCTCTTGACCTCGTGATCCACCCGCCTCGGCCTCCCAAAGTGCTGGGATTACAGGCTTGAGCCACCGCGCCCGGCCTCGGTCCTCTAGTTTTTAGATGAATTTCCTGTCTAGAGGTGTCCTAGTCTGCTCACTGGCTGGTAGCAGTAGCATCTCCAAAAAGCAAGAGGGCTCACTTAGACAAAACTGCAGTGCTTGTGGAGGGCCCGACTATCCTGCTCACCCTCAGGACTGCTGCAGGTCAGCAACTGTGCCGTGGCCAACCAGCAGCCTTTCTGGTACTGTTCTCCAGTTCACGTCTGCCAGCTGGTGAGGGCAGAGGCAGACCTGGTCAGAACCAGCAGCCCCTCCTCCGTGAGGGGGCATGGCATGGCCTCACACTTGAAAGGCAGTGTTTGGTTTCCCATCTCATCTTCTTAAGGGAAGCCGGTGCATACCCTTCAAGGCCCTGTCACCACCGATTTCCTCATCAGTTGGCATATACTGAGGGTGGCTTTTAGAGACTCAGGCTTGGTCGGCAGCACTGCTGTGGAACACCCCAGCAGGCACCTTCTACCTGCCTTTCGGAGCCAGCACCCAGGAGGGATGCCACACTCCCGCAACACCAGGTCAGCCCCTGCGGACCCCTGCCCCTGCCACTGCAGAAATTCAGAAGTGCCCTTAGTGCTTCTCAGGCTTCAGCGGAAGGGAGGGCTGTTCTTTCCAGAGGTGCATTTCTTTATGTACTGTTAGCTGGATCTGGCATGCATCCGTGGGCTTTAGATCATTACATCCAAATTATTTGCCTAAATGAGTTTATCAATTGTTAACTTGAAGAATATTAATTGTTTCTAATAAAGCTCCTGCATTTCTCTCCAGCTTTGTTCTTTCTTATAGATCAGAGATTCCCTTTTACATTTTACCAGGGTTGTCAGATGGTTTCAGTAGAAATACAAACATGTGTACATGATGGATATTTTCGAAACTCATTTTCAGACACAAAAGTCAAACTCTTGGACACCTGCTTACTCAAGTCTAATTATCTAGTTGAAATGTCATAAAATGGAAAAGCTTAATTACCATTTATTAAAACGCATTACCTGGACCCAGCAGCTGGCCTGTGCCAGGTAGGCCCTTTGGGAACAGATTTAAGAGAGAATGATTAATAGTAAGCCCAGGGGTGACAGTGAACAGCCTCTGATGTACAAGATGTTTGCCTTAATTAGAAGGTCTCCTGTAACCCTAATGAGAAAATAATCACAACTGTTACTCTGGCGGTCCAGAATCAAGTTGGAATTTGAATGGGAGGGGCCCGAGGTTTTCTCACCCAGGGCCGTATTCGTCAGGGAGCACCAGGGGCCGCACTCACAGGCCAAGCTTGAGTGTGGCTGGAGTCTACACCTCCAACTCTGACCTGGCCTAGTGCTGTCTCTGAAGCTGCTGCTTGTATTCCTGCCTCCTGTCTCCCATGCTAAGCTGAGGACAGGAACCAGGCCCTTACTCATTTTCTGTCATTGAGCAGAGTCCATTCTCCGATACATGGTGGTGGCCAGAAATGCCAAGTATCCAACAAGCACGGAACAGAACCACCCCCAGGCTCTCCACATCATTATCAACATCATTGTCCTGTGCCGGTTTTCCATGGCTGCCTTAACAAAGTCACAAATTAAGCCACAAACTGGGTGGCTTCATACAGCCGGAATGTATTCTCTGGCAGTTCTGGAGAGGTTTGAAATCGTATTGGCCCGGCCACGCTCCCTCCACAGGCTCAGTGCTCCTGGTGGCTGTGGCCGTCCTTGGCATTCCTTGGCTTGTGGGAAGCCTCACTCTGGTCTCTCTGACTCTGCTGTCACGTAGCCATCCCTGTCTGTGCATCTGTGTCTGACTCTCCCTCGTTTTCTGAGGACACCAGCCATTAGATGAGCATCCACCTATTCCAATATGACTCGTCTTCACAGCTACCTCTGCAGAGACTCTGTTTCCAAATAAGAACACATTCACAGGCACTGGGATTTAGGACTTCAACATATCTTTTTTTTTTTTTTTTGAGATGGAGTTTCTCTCTTGTTACCCAGGCTGGAGTGCAATGGTGCGATCTCGGCTCACCGCAACCTCCGCCTCCTGGGTTCAAGCAATTCTCCTGCCTCGGCCTCCTGAGTAGCTGGGACTACAGGCATGCACCACCATGCCCAGCTAATTTTTTGTATTTTTAGTAGAGATGGGGTTTCACCTCGTTGACCAGGATGGTCTCGATCTCTTGACCTCGTGATCCACCTGCCTCGGCCTCCCAAAGTGCTGGGATTACAGGCTTGAGCCACCACGCCCGGCCCAGGACTTCAACATATCTTTTGGGGGAGCATCAACCATGTGCTGAAAAGCCAGAAACCTCACTCCCAGCTCACACCACTTGAAGAACAGTTCATTTAGTACATCACTTTTCTGCAAAAACTTTGCTGGGAGGATCCTTCACCTGCTGCAGGTTTCATGGCTCAGCATCTCTGGCCACACAGCAGCCCAAGCCTGGCTGCAGCAAGTACAGAGAAAAGACTGGAAGCAGAGACCTGAAGGGGCGGGGTCCCAGCTGCGGAGGCTGTCTGCCCTGGGTCCACTGGCTGAGGGGCCACTAGCAGTCACATGTGTCCTTGGCCCAGAGAGCCATGGTGTTGCCACTATGCTGCACGGATGGTGGCTGTACCACTTTACAGGAGGAACAACTGAAGTTCAGGTCCAGTGCAAAGCCACTTTTAGCAAGGAAGATAGATGGCCAGTAACCCCAACAAAAGATGCTCAATGTCTCTAGTCACCAGGGAGCTGCAGGTCAAAGCCACAGTGAAATACCACTTCACCAAGATGGCTAGATCCAAAAAGTCAGTGACACAAGGGTGTTGACAGGGATGCAGAGAAACTGGAACTCGTACAGTGCTGTTGGGAGTGTAAAATGGTGCTGCTACTTGGGAAAACAGTTGGGTGTTCCTCAAACGATTAAACAGGGTTAGCATACGACCCAGCAATCCACTCCTAGGTATGTACACCCAAGAAAAGTGAAATAGGTCCACGCAAAAACTTGTAAACAAATGATACAGCAGCATTATTCATAATAGCCAAAAAGAGGAAACAACACAAGTCCATCCACTGAAGAATGGATGAACAAAATGTGTAGCCACACAGTGGAGTACTATTCAGCCATAAAAAGGAATGAAGGACTGACACACACTACAACATGGATGAGCTTTGAAAACATCATGCTAAGTGAAAGAAGCCAGTCACCAAAGATCACGTGTGTGATGCCATTCATAGGAGATGTTCAGAACAGAGAAATCTGGAGAGACACTGCTTGCTTAGGGCTGACGGGGGCCTGGGGGATAGAAAGGTGATGGCTAAAGGGCACAGAGTCTCTTGTTGAGGTGATTAAAGATTCTAAAATCAACCGTGTGAATACTTGCATATACCCACGAACATGCTTTTTAAAAGCCATTGAATGGTACACTTTAGACAAATTGTTGGTATGGGAAATATATCTCCATAGAGATGTTTCCTTTAAAAGTCACTGTTAGCAAATCGCAGAGCTGAGGCTTGAATCCAGGTCATTCTGATCCCACAGTACATCACGCCTCACCCCATCATGGTCTTGGGACTAAATAACAGAAAACACAGACTGTGGTTTGATATGAAGTGCAAGGGGGCCAAGGCGGGCAAGAGCATGCTTCGGTTTCAAGGATGGATGGCCAGGAAGTTGGGGAAGGTGTTAAGAAAAGCCAGCATGAATGGATCAGGAATTACTGTGGGAATCAAGAGACTATTGCGGGCAGAGTCCAGTGTGCCCACATGGCCTCCAAGCAGAGCTACTGTGTAGGGCTTTGATAAGGTGGGACTGAAGCTTGGAGGGATGCCAGGGCTGAAGAGCCTTCTGGGATCCATCTGCATGGTGCTGCTGATAGAGGCCAGGAGTCGGTGACAGAGAGGCCGTGGAGACCTAGCCCTTGGGAAACACACCAGAGGCGTGAGTGCAGAGGTGCCGGGTGAGGGAGGGTTGGAGAGGCACGCCGGCACGTGCAAGGTCATGAGTGCCAGGGAGCTCTGGCAGATGGGACACAGGGAGCGACAGACAGGTGCCTGGATTCCATCACCTGAGGCCCTAAAGCAGGGGCCTCTGGTAAGTGGAGAGGTGGAAGCCAGATTGTACAAAATTAGGAATGGAAACGTTTGCCTAGAACAGGACGCTTAGGTAAGACCCTCACTGGGAGAGGAAGGTAGGTTTGAACAAGAAAGGTTGTTTTTAGCCAGAGCTAAAGGCAGGCTTGAACGTGATTCTGGGGAAAGGCCCCAGTGACTAAAGGCCTGAGAAAGGAGCAGCTGCACGATGCTCATTGACACCAGAGGTTCCAGGCGGCAGGAGGGTGAGTTCATAAGCCAGAGCAGGAAGGTCACTTTCGAGGGGAGGTGAGAGGGACAGAAGTCAGTGTGGACGCGGGAAAGTCACACTGAGGTTGGGAAGAGCACAGCAGAGAGTGCCCACTGAAGATGCACAGTCAGCCTTCTCAGCAAACCCGTGAGAAACTTTCTGCAGAGTAGGGCTCTGAGAAGATCGGGATGCTGGAGGCGTGAGGCCACTAACAGATGATTCAAAAGATTGCTGAGCCTGGAAAGACTGAGCTGAGACAGAGGGGCGTGGATCTGAGGTGCAATTGATGCACCCAGTGTTAGGACTTTCTCTCGCCATGACCAGGGGAGCTTGGAAGAGGTAGACGCTGCCTGAAGTGAAGCATGGGAATCAGCGTCGGGGCCAGAGCACAGCCATGGATGGGAGGACCAAGAGTGCTTCTCACAGTGCCCGGAATCACCAAGCCCAGGGCCCAGCCCAGGGGAAGGGGATGGCTGACTCACACCAGGTGCTCCTGTGCCAGGCGTGCGTTACTGTGCCAAGCCATGGACGTGCACCACCTACCCCAGGAGGTGGATCTCCATATCCTCATACCTGTTTACAAGATGAGGAAACTGAGGTTTGGAAGACTTGGGACTTGAATGCAGACAGTATCACTATAAAGGCTCAATTATCAAACAAACCTTATCACCCGCCATCCCAGAAGGGACAGATACCATGGAGAGGGCAGCTCGGGGGTCTGAGGGAGGCAAGAAAGACTGACAGTCAGAGAAACTCCAGGGAGCTAGTCAGGATGGCAAGGAACCATCTGAGGAAAGTGAAGGAACTGAGAAGAGCTGGAAGGCTTAGTGTGGGGCTGAGACCCCAGGGACTATGAACCTGGTGCTGAACTCCTCCGGGAAGCAGCGCATCCAGGGGTGATTAGATGATAGCTGCCAGGACCAGGAAAAGGTGAGCTTAAGCAGAAAGCACAAAACATGGAGAAAGGGGACCTGCGAGGAGGACAAATGCCGACTTAAAACCCCCACGGGGAGCGAGAAGCTCTGCTTAGCTGCTGCCCCTGGATTAGGGACGACAGTTGGGGGACAAGCTGTCCTCTGCTGTGCAGAGCCGGGAAAGACAGGGCCTTGGGCACCTAGTGCCAGGTGGTGAATGGCAGGCTTGAGGAAGGGCAAGGGGGGATGGCACTGCACTGGGGCAAGCCCAGGCTCCGGAGTCACCCCTGCCCAGGCTCAAACCTCAGCCCTACTGGAAAGAGACTCCTCTCTCTGGACTCCAGTCTCCACCTACCCGATGGAGCCTCTGCACTCAGAATTTTGTGAGCATGAAAAGAAGTTACACTCGCTAACCTCCTGGTTAACGCAGACACTCATAAATGAGAGGTGTGACTGGGATCACAAGAACAAGGGTCCCAGCAGGGACAAAGGGTGCTAGAGAGGTACAGAGTTTTGCAGTTGGCACCAAGAGCAGATTCCAGAAAGGGATGGTTGGATCAAT